TATATTCGCATCTGTAGAATGGTTGGTGTGAGTGAACTTGGGCAAGTTGCAAGGACTTAACCTCAATAAGACTCATACTCTCCCGATGATACAAGGTTGCCTTCAGACATACTCCCTTGTTGTGTAGACAATATTACGAGATTACGAGCCGTTTAAGGAGTGGAACCTCCTGGCAGTTAGGGCTCTTCAATAGTCGCTCAGGGACCAATCTTATCTGGTCTCTCTTCGTCCTATGGTCGCAGATGAGATTTGATCCTCATGGAAGGATAGTGGTACTTTCTCGCCATGCGTAGTACTGGATGTTACTCTAGTTCTTTATACCATGGGATTGTACTTATTTTTACAGCAAATTTGAGAAATGAACTTTGAAGAAGAGAGGGAAGAGCGGGTAGCTTATTACTAGGGTACGACCGCTGTTCCTTGTCAGCATACTCTGTCGTTTGCTTTATTTGTATAAATGAGAATTTTTACGTCCTCTGCTGATCACTGCTTAGATAGTTCTTCGCGGATATCGGTTTGTTAGGGGATAAGTTTTTACGAGTATTGAATGGAGTGTAGTGCACAACATAGTCTCCCAAGAGTGCTCTGCTCAAGGGGGTCCTCCAACTAGAAAACCACAATTGCTGATATTTATCAGAATATATCAGAATAAATATCACATTTTGATAAGTGAAAAGCCTTCATTCAATAAAGGAGAGGATTATCGCGTAGAGCGGTGTTGTTAGGATTTGATGTTGCTCCCCTGGAATGATTTATTTGTTCATCGAATTCAGAAATGTTATTGAAATTATTGACTTCGCTGAAGCTTTTGCGAAAAATGGCTTGGATTTGGGTGCGAATGCAGTGGAGATGAAAATGAGATAGGGCAATTCCCAAGCCTTCTTCTGAACTACAACGATTTTCCACCTAGCGCTACCTGGCTACGGGCGGACTTATTTTTGGTACGAATTGCTCAGCCTGTGGCCGGCCCCTTTGTCCCAATGGTTCCATTGTTACAAGCTGGATATCTTGTTGCTCTACAGTTACACTACGGTTGAAATGAGTGGGGGCACACAGAATGGGGCTACCTACAGGAGCAAAGAGGCTCATGGCCTATGAAACGCTCCTACTCGCAGAGTTCCTTCCAGGGCTTTCCTCGCGACCTCGAAGAAAACTCCTAGTTGCCTTACATTAGTCAAAATTCATCGTTTGAGTGGCGACCCACAGGGGAACTCTTAGCTATCTCTTTAGTTTTTAGAGTAATTGTTGATTACAAAATTTACCTCCAAACTCACGGGCATTCCTCAATTTTAACGCAACCCTGTTCTATGTTGTTGGTAAGTTGAACGTAATTGTAATTACACTGACATCGAACTCCTCCACAACGGAGGGAGAAGCAAGGGAAGAACTGAAAAAGTTAGATGTTTAATTTCAAATGAAAGAAAATGCAAAGGATAACGGGGCTCACTTGCTTGTGATTACCGCAGGTCTTTGGTGGACAGAGGTTTGCACATGTTGTGAACATAGAGTTGTTAGGGCACGTTTCTGTAAAGCGACACTGACTCGAGAGGATATGATGGTTCTAGAGCATTACGGACAAAAATGGGAAACTTGTATGAAAAGTTTGAAATCGGACTCGGGATTGGTCATTTATTGAATTCCTGGACTGCCCAAAATCTTACAAGCGCGGAGGTCGAAGTAAAAGTTCCCGTTGGACTTTGCCATGTCGATCATCTCAATAACCTTCAGTCTTTCCGAACAGTCTTTCCGTTAGAGTGTTGTCGTCAATATTCGGGAAAGTCGGAAGGGTTTTTGATATTTTTGGAGAGCGTCCAAAATAGAATGGACATTTCGTGAAAGTCAATATTACTTAAGGATTTGCAGTAGTCTTGTAAAAGCAGTAGGTAGAGGTGGAAATCAGGTTCAAGCATGATGTGGCGTGAAGTCAGTAATACTCGTCTTTGCTTCCCCACAGAATGCATTCCCTTTTCCTTACAAATGCCTTTCCAAAAATATCAGGGGATCGGGAAGCTGAAGATCCTGTAGAGTATGAGTTATCAGTTATTTTGATGGTTATTCAGACAAATAACACAAAAAACAAATACAGCTTGGTCTAACTCACTACATTCTGAAGTGGGGCAGCCTGTTTGTTCGTTCCATGTTGTGATGATATTGCAACCAGGTCCCGCAACAGGTGTTGGTGGTATAGGGCAGGTTTTTACAGCTAAAAAATGAAAAATTTCTTTTACTCCCACAAAAACGACTCGAATCTCAAGTTTTATCTGAAAATATCTTCTTTTCTTCGCCACTTAATGCTTGCCTCACTCACAAAGAAAACGATTACTCATCAACATCTTCTTCACACATCGTTTAATCTTAATCTGTAAGCTAGTGAGCAGCTCCAGCGCTGAGCTTACTTTGCAGAATGTCTTGGGAGTAAATTTCCGGAGATCTGAGGTGAATGATAGAAGGTCGGATGGATTTGTACCGAGTTCCGTATATTTTCGGTTTTCTAGCAATTCAAATGCTCCAGAGAAGTGAGAATGTGAGGCCTTATGTTAAGGTCAGAGAACGACTTTGACAGAGCTTTTTTAAGGCTCCAAAACTGGCTTGACCGACGTGCGCACTCGAAAGCGGTTGTGTTATGACGCCCTTGATAAGGTTGCGCCATTAACAATGGGACGTTAAGATGCCGACGAATAGTACGTTTTTGTAAGAGACACCCAGATGGGTACAGACCCTCAGACCCAGATTTTGTACAACTCCCTTTCTTACTCTCTCACACCATTTCCTTCTTAAGATCTGCCCATTTTCATGTTTTTTTTTCGACACTTTCTCGATATTCTGCACCCCGGTTTCACGAACCCGAGTAATTAATCGGAGTGTAAGTTTTAGATAGCTTTTCAACTATAAACTCACGAACGCAACTTCCGTTATTGCAGCTGAAGCCCTGGTTGCATACGTTATTCGCGCCACAAGGAGACAAGGGTTGAGCTGAAAAGGCTATAGCAATCTACGTCAAACACTCGAAAGTACACAGTATTTGGGTTTTTAAGATGTATAGACCCACTCAGACGAATCTGAAATGAAGGCAGCATTTTGTGCCGTTTTGCCCGGGTGCTACCACTTTGCTTATAGAAAAATTCAGTAAACTTGAGCAGAGATGTACATTAAAGGTCAGACTTTTCACTGATAGCTGGTGTCGTTACCACCAAAAACAACTGAGAAACGCGTAGAACTCGTAGCCCTTCGTGATTTCGTCAGGTGGGTGAAGGTAGGCGTCTCATAGATGAGTTGCGCTATTACATAGTAAGGATCAAATCCAAGCTTATCGGCTTTCGCTATTATCCAAATATTAAAACTTACAAGCGCAGACT